TTTGTGTTCAAAGTCGAAACTGCTATTAACTTTTTGTAAAGAAGCTGTAGTTTTTATCCCCTACATTAATTTTTTATTTGCCAAGAGAGTAGTCACGCCTATTTGTTAATAGGTTTTGAACGGACAGGTACGTCTGCCAATATCATTATAATTCATAAGAACAAGGGTATATCTTCCTTAATACACAAGCTCCTGTCAGCTAAAAGTTTTCATGATTCGACTCATTTCATGCAAACGTCCCTTACTACAATATTTACTAGCAGGTTCTTAAAAACTTCTTTAACATGAGCCAAAACAAATAGTGCTTGGATATATAGTAAAGTAAGGTTATAAATATTTGATAGTTCATCTTTCACGTTCATAAAACAAAAATTGCTTACTTCACATAAAAAACAACAACATCATTTAAGAGTGATCATCCTCTTCAATTGAGTGGACATCGGTTAGATCATACCCTGGTTTAAAACTCAATAGCAATTTTTTGGTTCTCTCCGCCAAACTCCGATTATAACATTATTGGTAATAAGCGAGGTGTTCCAAATTGTTTATAGAAAGGTATTCATATAAGTATGGCATTTCTCAGAATCTGATACAAGCTACAAGTTACTCAGAATAGAATTTTTTGTTTATTTGTAAACGTGACCAAAGAAGCCGCATTTAGCTCATCACAAGCAGGTGTTTTGTTACCTTTTGCAAACAGAGTTGAACAAATCACCCTGAACCATGTTTTGAAAATACAATCAGATTCTGTCTATTTAACATATCCGGTACGTTATGTACATAGTCATAATAACAGTCGTGATGAAGAATTTCGAAAAGTGAGTGTTTTGTAAAATCCCTTGTCTTACAATAGCTCTTCCCGCTGGAATAACTTCCACAAGATATATAGCATACGGTCAACCCACAACAGTTCAAATTTTCAGTAAAAACATATTTTACTTAGAGTATTTAATGTCAAGTTTTTCCATACTGTGATGGTTTGTTTCTATTTTCTTATAAAATGTTCTCATATTTCCATTTTTAAACAATGTAATATATACTTTTATGTGCCTTGTTTGGACAAGTAATTAAACATCCACAATGGAAAGAATTTTCAGTATTTTTTTAAGGACATTTAACAAAATTTATTATGATATCGGGTTCTTTTTCTTGTCACTAGAGACAAAGCTTTAACTTCATACTTTTTCAATATGTTTAGTTTATGATTATAGTAAGGTGGTATTGTTACTTATAGCGCTCCTTGGAATACCATCACGTGTCTGTACGTGACTGCACATGCATTTTAACTGCAATATATCTATTGACTGCACGGCGTCAACATGCACTTACTCATATGTACCAACATAATAAATTTTATTTCCTATTTTACCGTTTTATACCATGATTAGGAAATATTATATAAATAAAACATAGGTTTGTGAGTAACAGTAAAAAAATATTATCCCGAGGAAAATTCTATAGCCGAAGAAAACAGTGTTATTACGAGGGATGGTATTTTTGCTATTACTCACAAACCTTTGTATTATTTATCTTCTTACCCCCGAACAAATACTTCATTGGGACACTGTTTCTTTAGGCTTTTGGTTTTCCATATTTTACTGTACAAAACTTTTGGTCACATGGTACACTTGTATTAACAGTAAGATTAACAGTAAGAATAACTCCCATTGGCCTATGGGGAAATTAACATTACATAAAAAGTGAGGGGTAATAAATGTAAATGGTATTCCATGCGGTGTTTGATAAAGGGGGAATATTTCAGATTAAAGTTTATATCTCTTGAATATAAAATAAACTGCCAGGCACTAAACTTATTTAATGTTTTGTTTCGAAAGCACAAAAGAACAACAAGAGGTATACGTTGTGATGGGTCAGTGTTTATAGAATATTATGACTAGTTAAGCCGCCTCTGGTAAAGTGCGAACATCTGTTCTGAGTTTTAGATATTACGTTCGTAAATAAGAAGAGAAAGTGAGCACAATGAAAGTCTGGGTTGTAACCAGTTCATAACAACGAACAAAACAATAATGCAATAGTTTCAAAGTAAAATAACTATTTTCTTTGTATTTTTTTCTCTTGAATATATTCCCTTTTGAGTGTAAATTGTTCGTCTTGTGCGGTTTTGGGGCTATAAAGTGTAAAATCGTATTTACAAATTGATCTTAGGTTATAAAATTTTTTTTCTGACTTTTGGCTCCAATCGCAGGGCTTTCATTGGTCAGTGTACATTCTTTGGAAGTTTTTGACCAATCATAAACCTGAGGTCTAAGTCGGGTTTGTTACTTTATAATTTAATTAAAGCACAAAAATGTCATTTTGCATTTGTTATGTACTACTCAATCTGTTTAACAAAAATATTCTTAATGCCTAACCAAGTGTTATCCCTATAAATTATATAGAGGATATTTGTTTGTTTTGCATGTAAGATTGAAATATAATTTCACTGAGTGAACACCAGATGCAATATTTTCACGAGTGGCGTAGCCACGAGTGAAAATATAATAGCTGGTGTTCACGAATGAAATATATTTCAATCCTATATGTAAAACAAATAAATTTTCTTTTTATTTCATGCTTTTAAGTGATTTTAAGTATTTTTTACTGATTTTGCCGCGTAACGTCGCGCATTCTCCTTTGTGACGTCATAACATCATGACGTCACATAATCAATTTTGAAATATAGTTCTGTTAGATTTCTCAAATTTTGTTACATTTTAAACATGATGTATGGTAACATCGGCTTTCTTTTCCTAAAGAAGCATAATTTACGTATGACGGCATTTATTTCTGCCTGTTATTCCATTTAGTTATGATTTTCTTTTCATCCGCATTCAGATATAGTCCGGCTACAGTGAAAATTATATTTTATAAATTTCACTAGTGGTTTATCAGAATATAATCATCTGATATATTACAATAAAACACTGGAAAGCATGAAATAAAAAAAATAAAGGATGGGCATTTCTTTTTCTTTACTGATACCTCTGGTCTAAGTTGTTCCGTAAAAATCAAGTCACTTCATATAATATATGAACGCTACAAAGCAGTAACATGAGTTTTATACGTGCAAGTTACGATGTATTATGAGACTATATCCATTATCTGTCCAGTTGATCGCCAAGATGACCTATGCAGTCTGGCATACATCCCCGTTATTTACTGATTATATGTAATTGGTAGCGGATATTCTGGCTCAATTCTCCGTAATGTAACTGTCTTCTGTCCTAACATTATAATCACACGTCTGATAGACAAAAAATATATTTATGATATTATATATATATTTACATATGTGCTACGAGGCTACTTCTATGTTCTTTTTTATATTATCGGATCATTCTTTTGGTCAGATATGAGAAATAGCGGCGAGCACGTCGTCTCTAGATTGAATGATATGTATAGGAAATGTTGGTATTGTATGTTTAAGTACTTAGTATAAGTATATAATGAAGTTGAATTATTATACCCCAGAGAGTCTGAACTCTGACTATAGACTAGTACATCATTATTCTACCAGGAAATAAAGTAAAATAACGAGCATTACGTGCTGGTTTTGTGTAAAAGTTTGTGGTGAGATATTACCGAGAAATGATGTTTTATATTAATAATACTAATGAGGTGGGTTACCTAAGAAATTATATAATATGTAAATGAGAGATATTTGCACCTTAACATTTAGCCAGCGAACGTTTTTCTTGTTTATAATATTTTTGTCTGAATTCTAAAGTCTTTAATTGCTAAGAAAAGTTCATCTTCGTGTTTTGTTTCCATAGCAATTTTCTTATCATCAGATTTAATATCAAACAAGATTTATCTCTCACGTGACCCTTGTACAGCAAAGATTATCAACAGAGATGAAAACTTTGACTTTCGGTCCTTCATTTTATTTGGTTCATTACCAAAACAGTTAATGACCATAGCAAAAGGGAACATGTTCCTGTCAAATTAATAAATCGAGTATGCCAGTTGACCACGTGTTCTAATCCCTCATTTGTTTTCATAGATAAAAGCAGACGATAACAGCAGACGATAACATAAAGGCAAAAAAAATCACGACGCGTTCGTTCAATCCACAAACACGATTAACGTAAATACTGAAAAATTCAAGGAGAATAAAAAGTAATCCTTATCAAATACAAAAATCAACAATTTATTCTAAAAATAAATAAATTACGTCGGAATTGTGTGAAAACATATGGTAGACGGCTGAAGAAAATCATTATCAATAATCTATCTAAACTAGAATAATATCAACTTTTTTCTCTCTCTGCCTTGTTAAATTTTTGAGTGATTTATCCTATCTCTATAACTTATATTATCATGATATATATAAAATGTCAAGGTAAGAAACAGGCAAATTTGTTTTTAAAAAATCATCTAAAAGTTATGTAACTTTGCCCGCAGAGATAATGTTGGTAATGGGAGATAATCATAATTTTTACGAACATAAATGAAATGATTTTAGTGCTTGTTTGCATTAACTGAAGTATTTTATGACATAATGCACTTGTTTATTTATAATAAAATATAGACATTGCATGCATGAAGTCATAAAATACTATATATAAAGTTAAAGGCTCTTAAAATGTAATAACTCGGTAGATAAGTGACTCTGTTGAAATGCCTGTATTTTTTGTTGTTGTTTTTTTGTTGTCTTTTTTGTAATTCAAGAAATCACTGGCTTCAATACAGTTATCAAAATGAATATTTGCCACGTGATACGGTCACAGGAAATTTCTGCTGAACTAGACAAATAAATAGTAAAAAATGTATTTTGCACGAAATTCACGGTATTTTAATTGTACTGTAAATATTAGTGTTCAAAAGTGGTAAATAATGAATCGTGCAATTTACTAAAGTGCGAAACTTATTCACACCAGGGTCTATTGAAAAACTCTGTTCACACTATTAATAGTAACAAAAATAGTTTAATATTTATTTAACAATAGAAATTGCAAAACATTTAAATGTTATAAATGATATAATGTTTATTATTTCAGATTGTGATGAAGTTTATCAGAGCGGAAGTATGAAGTATTTGGGCGACTATTACATCATGGTCAAACCAGATAAAGCTCCGGAACCATTCAAATGCGTCTGTAAAGTGATAAACGGGTCAGGTAAAAAACTATTTTGTGTCTGATCTTTAAGATAGTGTAAGCCGTTACGTATGTAAATAGTGCAAGCCGTTACGTATGTCAAAATAATAATAAAAATAATAACGTTGCTATGTTACCTCTTAGCTTGCTGAATGGATGTTTTATATGATGTAAAAAAATTGTCAGAAGTGGGATTCGAACCCACGCCTGGAGAACCAGACTGCGACCTGAACGCAGCGCCTTAGACCGCTCGGCCATCCTGACTTTACGAATTACGATCCGAATGTATCAATATAAATTAAATTGAATTAAATTTTTTTTTTATTTAAATATTTACTATATATTGGAGCAATCCGTTAAAAATTAAAGAGATTTCAGTATCAAAACAGACCACAGTTAAGAGCTGGGACAGACGGTACGGATGTGCAGGCCGACCTGGCACTATTACTGGAAGCAAAGGATAACCACTCTTCCATTAGTATAACAGGTTGGCCTGACCTTACTACCGTTGGCGGTTACTTTGATATACCAAGTGGGACTGGAAACCACACATTTAATAAAGAATTTAAATTAATAAATCAAAGATAAATTTGGTCACCTGTAGTTCAAAAGATTTTGAATATAAATATGTAAAAAAAATGTCAGAAGTGGGATTCGAACCCACGCCTGGAGAACCAGACTGCGACCTGAACCGCTCGGCCATCCTGACTTTTATTTTCACAATCGAATATATTATTAATATTAAATTCTACTTAATTATACATCTAGCTATTTGTTACATTGGAAATAGGGTGAAATTCATTAAATATATACACAAACAATATTGCGACATCCAAATGCAGATCGGGTACCTTTACTTTCAAACAAGATTTAATGCGTCATTTAACGTTTCTCACTGATATGAATGATTGAATGATATTAATATTAAAAAACAAATGCTTTATTTTCAACTGTCCATAAACAACCAAGCATTATTCTAAGCAACAACAACAACGACAACAATAACAAAGCGTGAATAAGAAATGCTTTTAAGCGATAAAATTAAAAGTTCTTAGCGTCGTATCAAAACAATACAAACAAGAATTACTCCATACAAAATAAATCATTTTTAATTATAATTATTGATGTGGCATATTTATATTTGTATTTTAACAGGCTGGACAGTGATACAAAGACGTGTTGATGGTCGGGAAAATTTCTCCCGAGACTGGGACGATTATAAAGAGGGATTTGGAAACCTCCAGGATGAGTTCTGGCTCGGAAATCAGAAAATACATCAACTAACGTCACAAGGTGAGATTTATACAAATGAATATCCCTTAAAAAAATAGTATGTCTTCTTTCTTCTAATCACATGGCCTAATTAACTTCCGCATTTGATTAAAAAAAGAACAAAAACTTAAGTCAGTTCAAAAGTTTTTAAAACATTCCCCGCTCAAACTAGAATCAGACATTTAGGATGTGGTGAGGGGGTATGATCTAAAAAAATCCTATATCAGCTTGAATATAACACTCTTTACATCCAGTTTGTGGTAATTGTTTAAGTTACAAATCAAAGGTTATGTCATATATACGATTTCAGTATTATATGTAAGTAATGTATATCAAAACTTGTATTTGATTGTTTCCTTTGTAAACTACTGTAACTGTTGTACTTTTAACTTAAAATTTATTCTCGTCACAAGGCTGTACCGGGTTTTCTGTTGTCTTGAGCCGGGTACCTGCCGGCGTTCGGGTTCGGCGTTCCATTGTAATTCACATTGTAGTTATACATCTTACCCCCTGGAAATAAAACAATCTTTTCACAACATTTTTTTATGTGACATCAGTCATAAATAATTAGCTATCAATTCTTTTTTTATATTGTTCTTGCCTTTAAAACAATTCTTATCAGGATACAAAAATGATGATGATGATGATGATATAAAGCTGAGTTCATGGCTGTGATAATGATGATAATGATGATGTTGAACTTAAAACTTTTTTTGAAAACAAAGTGTTACATACGTGGATCAACATAAGTTCCTGTAAACTGGCGGTTAGATAGACGACTGTTCCGTCGGTGACCAGTAGGGCTGTAATGTTCTCTCGTCGGCGTCATGCCGTCAGTTCTATAAGCTGGATCCCGGATATCCTGCATTGATTCAGCCCGACGACCATTTGTTAGAATTTGAGTGTCATTGACAGGGGCTGTAAAGGGCGGTTTACTTTCCCTGGGGTCACCTTCACGTTTGTACCAGTACGGCGGTGCCGTCTGTATTGAAAGAACGTCAGGCTCGTTACGTTGTAAATGATTTGGTGTAAATCGAAGTTGGTCATCCTCCTCGGAGATTAAAGAAAGTCTTTCACTAAGATCATCATCATCACCACGAGCTTTTTGTCTACTTAATGAGTTAGCCGTCCACGGGTAATTAAACTGAGTTTCCTGGGCTGGTTGAATATGTTGGTAATTTTTATGCGGGCACGCGATTTTGTCATAAAACATTGACGGTATTGTATGTGTACTAGTTCGCGGGAAACAATCGCACACAGCGTTGTTTTCGTAATCCCACTGATCCCCGCTGTACTCGTCATACATCCCGCGTCGGATCTGCATCTCTATACGGGCTGGTCTTTTTGCCGGAGCCCGCCATCCGGCATTATGCCTGTAATGGTCCGTCATTCCGGTTAGATCCTCTCCTTACAAATCACTGTTATCCGCAGAATACAAATTCTTGTTTATAATGGTCTCCAAATGGGACTTTGTGACGGTGAAACACTGATGGTTTATATATCGGCACGAACGTGTTCCTTGTTCAAACTGAAGGGGAAAAGATAAAACATTTCAACAATAATTTATTAACAGTTAAGAGCTGTATGTGTTATCTTAATGTGATTTACTCGACTTAACATGTAGTCTATGATTTTAAACACGGCATTTCAATTTCAATACTATTAGTAAATGAACAGTCGTAGCGTGTTTATCTTTACACTTAACTGTGATTGAATATCTATATGACATTTGTAAATGCAAAGTTCAACGTTTTCTTTAACTTATGTATGAATAAAGTGGCACAAATTATTGACTTTAGTCAATTTTGCAAATATGTATTGAAGAGTATTAAAGAGAAGTATACTGAATGACGTATAGGTAATGGAAAAAAAGAAGAAAAAACACTTCATTTTAAAACATATCGAGATTTTTAAAGAGATTTCAATGTCTCCCCCATGCTTTAATTGAAGATCATTTTATCATTAATCATTTAAAAGTTTTCACTAATTTTCTCATCGTACTTCAATCCATCAATTAATCAAATTAAATTTTTAGCTTTTAGAATTGTTCGGTGTTATATAATATTGAAGGGTAAAGGGGTGGGGTGCAGGGGGTATGGGAGGAGGTAGATATCAAAGGAATTCAACTTAAGATAGCGGTATCTGTTTCCGTTCCCTTTAGAGATAATTGTATCATAAGATACTTTGATATGGTAGAAATGGTAACAGAGTAAGTATTGTGTTTTGGATTAGTGCACGTAGCGTGCACAGGTGGGTGTTAGTTTATCAGGTAGGCAGGTATTTTATAGGATAATGTATCTAATGTGTAACATACATCATCTCAGAGTGGGAATCTAACGAGTTGCTATTGAAATAGTTAGTAGAAAAAAACTTTCTAAAAAAAGACGTATCAGTATAGATGGGGACGTCAAACGACGACAAGATCTTCATTTCATAAAATTGTAACAATTGTTGCGATGAAATACAGATCTAGAAATATCGTTGACTCGGTTAATAAGTAAGCTAAATGGTGTATTTGTATCCTAGTTTACTTGGCATCTAGCTTTCAAGAACAACTCAAAAAAAGATTATGATGTCTCGGTTCGAATAGAAAGACACAAATCATTCTAGATTCTAAAATTTCTTTGCAGAGTTTTTAGACAATGTGTATACGTGCCTTTTAATCTATTTTCAGGAAACTATAAAATAAGGATATCGATGACGGAATGGAGCGGGAAAAAGTATTATGCTGAATACGACCGGTTCCAGGTATCTAGCGAACTCGATAAGTATCGTCTGCACGTGAGCGGGTACGACGGGGACGCCGGGGATTCCCTGACGCCATATTGGAGATCCCATGACGGAATGCCGTTCAGTACATTCGACCGTGACAATGACAACAGGTTCTATGACAACTGCGCAGAGCATTATGGGGGCGGATGGTGGTACAATGATTGTTTCGAAAGCCATTTGAACGGAAGATATTATCAAAATGGTTCTCATAACAATTACTTTGTCCGAAATGGAATACAGTGGAACTCGATCCATTCTTATTCTTCACTTAAATCCGTTGAAATCATGATCAAGCCATCAGACAATGCAAAACGTCCAAATGAAATTTGAAAACAGATCAAAAACAGAAAGATCATCAATGTTCAAGTAATCAGTAACATCTTCCATCATACTGTTTCTTTCAAAATATTCAAGTGCAATAGATTTCAGCAAGTTAGATAATATTGCATTTAATCAAAGTTCATAAATTTAGCCCCACTGGTATAGTTGAGCTGGATTTAGAATCAATTATGTTTAACTTGTGTTGATGGCTCACATTTAGATATATTTGATGTGTTGCCAAGTTCATCTGTTTAACAGATACTTTGAGCAGGAGAAGAAAAGAAAACAAAGTTGTAAACTGGAACGGTAATTAAGAGCCTGAACTTAAAATGGTTTAGGACAAAAACCCTCAGATATTACACCGATAAGATATTTTGTTGAAAAGTTACGTTGAATTCTGCATTTCTTTATTTATTAAACTCATTCGAATACATATGTTAATAATGTATCATTTGTAACACAATCTTATCTGATGATGAATATCATTTCATTTAGCACTTTTATTGTAAAATATTGTAAAATAATAATAATTCTATAGCAACATTTTTTGACTTTATGCACGTGATTTTCGTGCAAGACAAATAGACTCTCACCCTAGAGGGAGGAAAGTGGTTTGAATGTGGTGAAAATAAAACCACAAATAGTTTCATCATACGGATGATGAGAAAGTCAGGCACGTGAAGATGTTCGAGGTTTGTGATAATGTTCTATAAATAGACGGGACTCAAATATGGAGTTAAGGTTACAGTACGGGTAATTCCCTTTCCTCCCTAACATCATTATTTGTTTCATTTACCATTCATTCTGTTACCATCTTAATTTGTGAAATATTTAAACAAATTCATTCATCATTTTTGCTACCAGTTCTTCTTGAAATCCATTTTTTCCTACTTATTGTAGATATATGTATTTATGTACAGATGTGATATCACGAGGTTTCATTTGACTCATTATTATTTTGTCTATTTCAATTATCATTTCATAATGGCTGTTTTATAATCGATGTCTGTCTTATAAAGGACACACGGGACAATATTTACCAGTGATCATTCAAATATAAAATCAATATGATATTATGATAATACTGTTAACTATTTAAAATTCTAATGAATATGATAATGTAAATTTAGACACGTGGTTTAAGAGTTTGGCAATAAATTAAATGAGATACGTATAAAATAGAGACATAAAACTATAAAGAATAAACATACAGGAGATATTGATGATTTACTCAGTAATTTTTACTTTGGAAAATTCAAGAAAAAACACATTATGGTAATCTGTAAATTAATGTAAAATTATCGTCGAATTACTATAAAATTATCAACTTTGTATCCTGCAGAATGCTCCACAAATCAAGTGCAAAGATGTTAAAACTGATTAGAAATCTTGCAGAGCAATTTTATGATAAGATGCATGGAAGTTTAATTGTTCAATTAGCGAATCTGTTTTTATCCGTTATCATACCCACCTGTATAACAACGTCTGTGGGAGACTGATTTTTTTCAGAAATGAGTAGTGAAAAGAAAAAAAACTAAACCTGCATTTACTTGGAACTATAAATTTCTCAATAACAGGGTTCATTTGTAACAGTTTTTTTTCAGCTTGAAATTTTAAGGTGTTTATAACAAGAAATATTTTAAGAGGGACTTCAGGTGTTTCACCATGTTGTAGACACGGTATTTGAATATAATTCAAACGAAACATAATTATTGACATTCTGGAAAGTTGGAAAGAGATACGCCCTAATTTTTTCTCTCTTTTTTTCATCATTGATTTGTTTTTATAGTTTTCTACTACACACAGTTAATGTAAAAAACCGGAATCATGGATTAACAGTAGAATATATATTTTATAATAATAATGTCACTCTACCTTGGTTATACAAGGACGCTTGATTAAAAAAAAAAAATAACTGGTTCTTTACTAAATGCAAAGTGAAGTTGTATAGATAAATATTTGCTTTTTGACCACTCAACATAGCCAACAGGTATGAGATGTAATTCAAATAATATCTTTTAAAAAAATACCTATTTGTAGGCTATATTTAAGGGAACACATTCACAGTTAAAGTTCTTTGATTCACATAGAGGGAGCTATATTTTGGCTTAATATGTTTCCGTCAATCGCAACTACTCGGCCCTTTCCGTCAGTCTTCGGATGATATTAGCCGGGGCAGGTCCGAAACGCCGGTCAGCGTCCGTAGACGCTTACTTTTATACAAAGTGTTCATCTTTCATGCTTCTGATCTATCATTTGAAATATTTATTGTAATGTATATATTTTATGCAATTTCTGTGTAAGGTATCGTGTAATAAAATGTATATGTGATCATTTTTTTCTAGTGCCAATTTTCAATAAAAATGATATAAATAAAGTTTTGTTATTAACAATTTTATGTTGTCTTATTATTTAGTTTATGCAGAATTTATTTCAATTTGATTCTGCAAGAAGCTATAAGCTTATTTATAAGCACTCATGACCAGTTCCTGGAATCAAACAGCACTGAGGAATAATTGTACAGTTTCTTGCTCAAGGAAACAACTACTTGACCCTGATGGGGTTTGAACCCCATAGGCCTACGGCTAGAGATGATAAGAGATCATTAGATTACAAGTCCGACGCGTTAACCACTCGACCATGCCGTCACAATAAATTCTTGTATTTTCTGAACAAAGCGTCAAATGATGGATGTATTACGCACAGTGATACACGTCGTGGACTTCTTATTTAAATTAAAACATCTACATAAAATGAATAAAATATGACATTTCAAAATCACTAATGGATTGTTACTGCCTTTTTTACAGAGAACTTAGCAACTGGCCAGTTATATACAACAAGAAACTGTCCGATGTCTCAACTGCTTGCAGTTATTGTCTGCTGCCAAAAGAATAACGTTGCTCAGACTAAAGGAAGCTTATCACATTGGTGTTGCTCTATAATGCTGTATGCAACTTTAAAACTTTATCACATCGGAATGAATTTAACTGATATCCCGCTAACTTTAAATGATAGAGGTATTTAAATTTTATGGGAGTGGTGGCCTAATGGTTAAATGTCTGTCTCTCAACCCAGGGATCATGGGTTCGAACCCTGCCTGGGTTATGACCATGTTTCTTCATATGACACCATACTGGTTGGTTCCAGGAAATGGGCTCGAAAGTGATTAATAGAAGTTGAAAGAACTTGTTTCGCAATCAAAGTTTAAATAAATAATAAATGAGCCGCGTCACGACAAAACCAACGTAATGCGTTTGCGACCAGCATGGATCCAGACCAGCCTGCGCATCCTCGCAGTCTGATCAGGATCCATGCTGTTCGCTTACAAACCCTATTACAAGTAGAGAAACTGATAGCGAGCAGCATGGATGCTGATCAGACTGCGCGGATGCGCAGGCTGGTCTGGATCCATGCTGGTCGCAAACCCATTATGTTTTTTTTGTCATGGCTCATATGTTTAAATCAACTTTAAATGAACTTATCCTTTTTGTTTGGAACAGTCCACAAATAGAATAGGGATTATAGTATCAGCAGTATAGGGCCTGGAAGGAACCATGTACGGACATGCAGGTTGACCTTGTGCGATTTTGCATGACGGCAAAGAATCGCCATTAGTCAGGAAATCATATGTATGCAGTGTACAATATAAAGAACCCAAGAAAAGATGAAAGATATAGTAGGAATACCGACGTCTTTTAAAGGGACTCCCCTGAGGTTTTTTGACATGACGGGACTGGAAATATTTTTTTGCGTTGCAACTCTTTTCACTCAAACCCTGCTTCAAATCGTGCTAAAATAGCACAATCAATACGTTTTTCAATTTATTCTGAGTGTATTTCTAAAATGTATTTTGCATATATATTTCTGTTTTAAGTGCCCAAGTTGATCTATGTAAGAAATACAATTTTTATGTTTTTAAGCTTTTGGACGCCAGTGAGTTCCTCTATACATGTACATTATATGGGAAAATATAATTAATTTTATGAATACCACTGGGAAAGTTTACTTATTACTCTGTATAAATTTGATCGTAATGTTTAAAATGTGCTATGATTTTCATTGCAAAGACTAGAACAATATTTTGATTTATCTGAAGCAGAATTATATCAAAACATGACTGAGACTTTCACACAGATGATTGCTGGGAAATATTTTGTAACACATTCATAAATACTAGTATATACGTTACAATATGATATTAATGTTAGAACAAAAGTAAAAATACGACATTGACACTTAATTTACAAGAGTATTTTCATGTACACCGCTTATAAATGTGGTTATTTTGGTGAACGCAGCAAGAAGAAAAGGGCGGAATCATCGGAAATGCAGGTTTAAGAAGCTCTTAAGACAAGATAAAAGTGCAAAATATATATCTAATAACTTAGTTAATATACTGTTGAGAGTTCGTGTGTTACTAGAGGTCAGTTCATATTATCATAACATCATTCCCGAGAGAAAAACCCTTACCCTATAACTTAAACAACACTTATACTAATAACACCTAATTGTTTAACCCGGATATTAGTACGCGAACTATTCACTTACACGGTGAAATAAGTGACATTTTTCTACCAATCTTCAATGAATGACTTAAAACATACCTCAGATATAAACTTTCCGAAATCCGCACAAAATGATATATATGTACATTTCGGCAGAATAATTCACTCTAATTCAATCAGAAAATATTTCATATTAAACGTTTCATTTAAAGTAATATATATTTGTATTTACAAATGATTTATCAACTTCACAGTTATATATGTATGAAAAGCTTTTGGTTATTGATTTCTCTTCAAGCAATTAAAAAAAACACCGCTTTTTACTTTTTTTCAATCACCGACTGGGCTATTGACTTTTTGCATAAAAGATTTGAAATCAATCTATTGAATACGAGGTATGTGTACTGATTTTTGAAAAGACGAATCAAAAACTATTCAAAGTTATTTTGAAAAGGATTGATTTGCAAGGGAAGCAACTCAGTAACGCCGATGAAGTACTCGTTAATGAACGTATCAAAAGTTATACATTTCAAGAGTCACAGTGGGTAAACGCAATCACTGTATCATTTATTGTGAGTCTATGTAATTTAATGTGTATCATTTATTGTGGGCACAAGCACCTGCTACTTCTGATCACCGTGTGATTTATTGCAGGCTTATTTAATTCAACTTGTATCATTGTTTGCGAGCACGGGAAGTAAATACGTTAAGTCACAATGTTAACCGTCTTAGGAGCTTCGGTATCTGTTATCCATTCATATTATTTTTTTTAATCGAATACACTTAAGATTTCTTTAATAATTACAAGTTGATATAAATGAAGTTTTGCCAATTTAGCCAGACATCCAATATCTTTTGACGTAAACTTATGTTGTTAAAATATTAAACAATGTTACATATGGGAAACTAAACATGTCTTATTGATACCATAGAAGGATGTTATACATTGTCGAATACAATATTGATTCTTTTGGACAAGTACGCAGTTGTTCAACCTATATTGGACCAAGTGCTAGCTTATTTCACTCAACCATTTTTGACACAACTTTATCACTTAGTACAGTAAGGATTTTATTTGTTTTTGGACTCTTGTAATTGAAACCATGCTAAATTGATAGAATTAGATCCAATACTGAATTCTATTGAGAAATCACGTTGTGCGAACACTGAAACCCTTTTGGTTATGTTTTATAAGGTGTGGAATAAATAGAGGATATTGAATGAGTGTAAGTTCAATACTGAATTTATTACACAAGTTGAATAAAATTATATTATGCTAGCCTCTGCAATACCATTTTTACGGAGTTGCAAAATCGGCACGGGTGTGTGATAAAGCTCTATACGTTCTTTGCATATCCGGGATTGCCTAAATGTAAAGTGTGCCTTAAAAATGCGGAAGAACAAGTCAACGACCGGCAAGCAAAAAGGCAACTTGTTCGAGGTTTGGATGTTTTCATCATCAGGATTCACACAGCTGGGTTTGTTTCCAAAATTGACGCTCTCCGTCATAGTTTGGGTGTGGCTATGGCTGACAAGCACACCATGACTAACTTGCCTCTACAAAGATTTAAATAACTATCTCCGTGGCCCTTGAAAATATTTATTACTTAAGAATTTAGACTTTTTAATAAGAATTGAGACTTTAGAATGTAGACTTGCTATAAAAGCATTCCATGATCGTCGTTTTGCAGGTCCAGTGCCCAAGTACAATATAAGCTGAGAAAGAAACAACTGCTAGAAAGTACGAAAGACTTTCAATTCATTTCAACTTCATGAATTCCCGATGTCATCTTCGTGAATTCACGATTTCAACTTCATAATTTCACGATTTCAACTTAACGAATTCACAATTTCATCTTCATAAATTCACGATTTCAACTTCATAAAATGACGATTTCAACTTCATAAATTCACGATTCCAACTTCATAAAATCAAGATTTTAACTTTACGAATTCACGATTTCAACATCATAAATTCACGATTTCAACTTCACGAATTCACGATTTCAACTTAATAAATTCACGATTTCAACTTCTCGAATTCACGATTTCAACTTCATAAAGTTAAAATGACACCACCGGTCTTTCGTTAAAAGAAGACCCTAGGATCAAATGAAAGAAATTATGTAGTGTTAAAACTTTTTAGGAAGGGGATGTCATATGTAATTTACAATGTGACAGGTACGTACATGAACATCAGTAAATATGACAGACAAAAAATAATATACACCGCATAAATAATTATATAACTTTTATTTCATTAAATAGTTTTATTGCCTTAAATATGAGAAAGCAGAATAAATGTTGATAGTTCTAGCATATAAGTCGTTTATATACTGTAAAAAAACACAGAGAAATATGCAATGTAAATAGTTTACTATATATGTCGTACTTTAAAACCTTAAACAATTTAATAATTCTGATAAATATACCAGTAGAAAGTATGTCAGACAAGAGCAATCTTAACATTCTTTCCTAGCTCAATTCTTATGTTATATACAAATACTGGAGATTTTAATAATCTAATTAAGAAAAGGAGGCTAATGAACAAATTGTCAATAATAAAGAAGCACTTCAAGAAAGTAGTTCTTTCATTTATTTTCTATTTGCACTTCTGGAATGACGTTCTTCTCATTACCAATGTATTCATACACTGTTGTTCTATATGTAAAATATCTATACATTATTATATATATGACTTAAAGTTCAAACATACTCATGGTTTTCTTACAACAGAGTAATAATATGAAGTAAAGTATTCCAGAATTTTTTAACAAAAAAAAGGTACATTAAAACAAACAAAAAAGCGCTGATTCGAATAAACACCATCCCAACTCCAACCCGAGAGTGACCTTGATCTTTGACCCTGTGACCTCTACATTACACCAGGGCTTTTATTGAACAAAAGCCCTGTAATACACACACAGTCAGCAGGGTAGGTATTATTATTGCTTTCACCACAGATATCTATATTTAGCTCCATGCTCTCACATAACAATGAAGATTTATAGATGTCTCTAAGAGGGTTTCATGTATAATACAAGCCCAGTGTATTCTCTAACATACAATACAAGCCCGTTTATTCTCTAACATACGATACAAGCCCGGTGTATTCTCTAACATACGATACAAGCCCGGTGTATTCTCTAACATACGATACAAGCCCGGTGTATTCTCTAACATACGATACAAGCCCGGTGTATTCTCTAACATACGATACAAGCCCAGTGTATTCTCTAACATACAATACAAGCCTGGTGTATTCTCTAACATACGATACAAGCCCGGTGTATTCTCTAACATACGATACAAGCCTGGTGTATTCTCTAACATAGGATACAAGCCCAGTGTATTCTCTAACATACGATACAAGCCCAGTGTATTCTCTAACATACGATACAAGCCTGGTGTATTCTCTAACATACAATACAAGCCCGGTGTATTCTCTAACATACAATACAAGCCCAGTGTATTCTCTAACATACGATACAAGCCCGGTGTATTCTCTAACATACAATACAAGCCCGGTGTATTCTCTAACATACGATACAAGCCCAGTGTATTCTCTAACATACAATACAAGCCCGGTGTATTCTCTAACATACGATACAAGCCCGGTGTATTCTCTAACATACGATACAAGCCTGGTGTATTCTCTAACATACGATACAAGCCCGGTGTATTCTCTAACATACAATACAAGCCTGGTGTATTCTCTAACATACGATACAAGCCCGGTGTATTCTCTAACATACAATACAAGCCCGGTGTATTCTCTAACATAGTGTCTATACAAGATAAATTCTGTAACCTATCACATACAAGCAGAACAAATGTACTCTATGAAATAACAGGATGTCATGTACAAAGGGGAAAAAATTGAGAAAATGTCACACAAAAATCTTTCAGACACTAAACTTTAAGCCATTCAAAAACAAGAAAATACTAGAAACAAACGTGAAAATGAACAATGACACTTTGTTTGTTTGTTTGTTTGCTTCATTTTACGCCTTTTTCAACAGTATTTCAGTCATATAGGCGGGTAGTTTCCTAACCATCGTTCCTGGAGAGTTACACCAGTACTAGACTACCTTCCTCCGCGCTAAACTACCAAAGCATCTCCCGGGGATCGAACCCACGCCAGAGAGGTAACTGGATTAGAAGTCATCGACTCTAACCCCTCGACCACGGAGGCGGTAACAATGACACAGAAAATGATACCTTTATATAGGAAATGAGATAAAATAAAACATGTATTAACAAAAAAAGAAGCACTTTAAGCCTATATAAACAACAGCAACATGTAATATTTGTATGTTTACATACAGACTTTAATTGAAGCTAAAAGAAAGTTTGCCCATGGTTTACAGATACAAGAATATTGAAGCAGAAACTCTCTAAACTGTCGTCTGCTACAACCAGTTAAAGCAAGGGAAGATAACTCTGATTTAAAGCTTGACAATAATTAGCTTGACAAATATCAACAAGCCTGAGCAAACATTGTTTTTTCATTATGCTGATATTAGAACATCAAAGTGTAGCATGAAAATTGCTTAAAATTCTAAATTGCTTAAAATTCTTTATCTTTTCACGAAAGTAATTAACCATATTAATTTTTTAATCACTCTTTATTCAAGACAGTGAAGGAATATGTATCACAGCATCTTTGACAATTTGCCAGTTTTGACATGCCCAATCCAAAGTAAAGGGCAATTATATTATCAGCTAATCATATTTTAACTTTTGAATATACAATTCTTTATTTTTACTTTGATTATTAGAAACTGACAGTGAATTGGCTAAACCTAACTGAAAAACTAGTTTATATTCTAAGACACTACAAACAATTTTGGAAATAGATGACTTTGAAAAATAGGAAATAAATTAAAATAATTCATGATATAATAAAATATATTATCAAAAGATTACAATGTGTTCATAGATGCATTATGGGTAAGATATTTCAGATGTAAATTAGTTTCACTTCTTTTTATTTAAACCACACAATGTACCTGATTTTAGTGACAAGATGTTTCTTATGTGTATGATTCCCTTGTCTCATATAATTCTTATATAGAATGACTTTGTACATGTTTTTATGACACTCAATATATTGTGTGTACATTTAGATGAGACGTAAATAAACAAATAAATTATGTATGCTGAATAGGGAAATAACTGAGTGTAAAATTCCTGTAATTCTATTTATAACAATCGTGAGAGATACAATTTAAACTTACTGTAGTGACTAGCTGAAGCTACATGTATTATATAATTTATATTTTTATGTTATAAGTGTAATAATTTAAAGAAAATTAAGTTTTTGTAAACTTCTATATCAAGTAAAATTAAGTCTTCAAGGTAAAGAAATTAATTATTTTCTCTGTACTGATGAAGTAAATAATTTCTATACCTTAAAGACTCAATTTTACATGATTATAAAAACTATTACCAAACACGTTTAATTTTCTTTATCTTAATACAACAACAATTGCATATAGGATGAATAATAAAAAGGGGCAAGAAAAAAGAAATGAAAATGACAAAGCAAAAGCCACACTCTCTCATTTGAGTAGAAGAGCTTACAAAAAAAACTCATCTGAAGTGTAAGAAATGCATAAATATTCTCAATTTATGTGATATTTTGTGCATAATACAAAACTTTTTAGCACTGTCCTTAAAAAAGAAAACTTAAGCCTAGAATTTAACTGATATTGATTACATTTAAATTGTTAAAATTGAGCCGCGTCATGACAAAACCAACATAGTGCGTTTGCGACCAGCATGGATCCAGACCAGCCTGCGCATCCGCGCAGTCTGATCAGGATCCATGCTGTTCGCTATCAGTTTCACTACTTGTTAAAGAGTTGGTCTGGATCCATATTGGTCGCAAACCCACTATGTTGGTTTTGTTGTGACACGGCTCAAATGTTACAAATCCTAGAAATCAAACATTTTCAACTTTAAAGGGTATTCATCTGTAACCAAACAACAAGACTACTAGCAAACTCTAGGGAAATAATGAAAGGGAAACAACTCTTTTGCAGTAAATAATTGCTTTTAGCATGATTAGTCTCCCTTCCAAAAGGTAGGAAATAAAAAAAAATATTTCCTTTTTTATTTCATGGTGAATCAAATATTTCAATTAACATAGCAAACTTCATTTATAAACCAGCATAAAATGGCTACTTCATAATTGCCTAATAATCTACATACAAAAATATTCTCATAAAAAATTTAATAGGTAAAGTTATATAATTACATACAAAATACATAAAAAATGTGCCAAATATATACAAAGAAAAAACAAACTTTTCTAAATAATTATATATCAGACCTGTAAAATATTAAATTTAACAATTCCTAACTTAATCTACATAAAAAAAATCACATTCACTTTGTTAAACCTATCTAAAACAAACATCACTATTTCATCTTTAACCACAGCAGTCACTTGAACCTTCTTTATTGTGCCACATAGTTACCTCCCTTTAATACTCATGGTAACAATATATAACCTATGTTATCAATATTGCACCAGGTCATTCTGAAAAACTGACCAGACTCTACACTATTGGCTGTTTCATGCTAGTATTTTGAAATCCCTTAAATTGGCAATGAACTATTCCAATTTTAAAATAGGGAAAGTCCATTATGAAAATTTAGCAAGACAAGGGTTTAAGTCAAGAGAGTTGTTACTCTATGAAATCAAGGAACGAATTAGCATCATGTTAACCCATAGCCATGTTAGTGGCAACTGAATAAACTCATGTAACCAGTGCAGACCTTGATACAACTGTGCTGTTGGGTACTAGTCTGCACTATTCATTCAGTAAATATTTTTAAAGTTTGCCTTAAATTGATGTATGGTTATGTCAATTTGATGTGATGTCACTTGCGTTGTATACAAACATAGTGCAATAGTGCACTAATGTTAGTGTTACACTACAGGAGCGTCAATTTAAAAAAACTCTTTGAGACTCTTTTTAACTGTAAATCGTTCTTATCTTAAATATGTGATAAACAGAACATTATATTTGTGTAGATTCAATACTAAATTTATTGAACTCGTTGAATAAACCTTTATAATGCTCGCCAGATGCCTGCATAATGATTTTATTAAAACTTGTTCAATAAATTTAGTATTAACCCTGCACTTATTCAATATCCTCTATATTCAAGTTGGCAATTTCATAGAAAAACATAAACCAATGTTTCTCTATCTCATGAATGTATCCTTTCAACAGAACATGCTTTATCCAATTATCAACTGCTAAATTATCAATGCATTACATAAAAATCTCAATATGAAATGGATCAAAAATAAATTTAATACCTTTCCATTTTTTTACACCATTAAATCATATTTATCTCACATCTTACATCAACATTCTATGTCTGTTTCACAATAAACTGTTTGTGAGGTATATAACATCAAAGTATAACATACAACTTTTTTTTCTTTCTAGAAATTTAAATATTTTGATCATTTTGGCAGAGAGATTTCATCAGAACTTTTAGTTCTGATATGAACTACATATTTTCTCTATTATTCACTTAACAGTAAGAATCAGTCCAGACAAATATTATCCAAGAATTTTCTTTTGTGTGCAAATGATGTTGCCAGTATGTGTGAAATATAATATTTTTGACTATATACAGGCATCAGGTGACTTCATGAAACTGTTGTCAGACATAAAAAAAACCCCGAAACCTTGATGATTATATTCTACAATATTATTACAGTAAACTTCGCTTATAATGAAATCACTTTGAACGAGATACTGCTTATAACTATGACTGGTTGCCAGGGTCCCGACTCTTTGTTTTCAAATTGGTTGCCACTTGGATACAACGATATTCGGATATAACCGGTAACGAAATCAATTTGGCCATCCCCTGAATAATGTTATAAGCGAGATTTACTGTAGATATGTGAACATGATAAAGATGGTTCAAAGATGAAAAAGTGTTGTTTGAACTACAAAATATTTTGTTTACCCGAACAATTTAACAAAACAAGGATGACAATACGGCCGATCATTCTGTTCTTTAAATGTTCCTTTATTCAACTGCTTCAAACAGAACGCGCACACAAAATGCTCCGGATGGAACTTTTTATACATGGCCGTGATACATCGTCCGGCGATCGGTTTCTGGCAGCCGGCGCACAGGGAACCACGCTTCAAATGGTAATGTGTCTCGCAGTAAGGCAAACCTTCGTAGTCGAAGAAACTGCTACCACCAAATGGCTCATGACATTCCTGTAAACAAAGTCATTTTTTTAAAAGCTTCTTTCTTGTGATAATCGATAATCATACTTATATTCTGTACATTTGTGACAAGGAGTTTTGATGATTAGGACCTTTATTATATCATTTATAGAAAAAGCTGTGCAAATTTATTAATAGTTATCTGTTTTAATCAATACATAGGTGCAAAGTTGAAAATTTGGAAAAACCTGAAAACTGTAATTCATAATCATTTACCTACATAATCTAATAGTAAAACATGATGAAATTTGTCTCAAAAAACCTGAGCTTCAAGCAAATGCCTGAAAAGTTGCACCCATGTCAATATAATTTTTGCATTATCAAAAATTTGTAATGAAGACTAATTACAGGTTATATGGCAGTATATAAGAGGTTGTTTGCTACATATAACCCTCTCCTAATGACTTGTGTTACAACAATCTATACTGTGTCACAATTATAACCTGTCAAAAATCTTTATAACTAATAATCTATGTACATCTTAGTCATCAGATTGCACTGGTAATTTTTCCTCAAATTATGTATACATCTTTCTATACAATATATCCAGTATGTATCTAATTATCATGTTGTTCCTCTTGTTTGCAGTACTTTAACCACATTAAAGGTAAACAAGAGGGCCATGATGGCCCTGAGGTCGCTCACCTGTATATAGGCCCCCCACCCCGGGCCAATTTTTACCCAAGGGCTTTTATTTGTTTATTTGAACAGACTTGGTAGACACCCATAAGAAGATGTTTCATGCTAAACATCTAAGTTCTAGCTCATTGGCATTTTTAAAAGAAGATTTTTTACTTTTTAAGTTTTTACTATACACATATAGTTAAAAACAATGTCACCCCTGGGGCAGGGCCAGTTTTGACCCCCGGGCGTTTATTTTAACAAACTTTGTAGATATTTTCTTAAAGATGTTTCATGCTTAATATCTAAACTCTAGCTCTTTGGGTTTTTCCAAAGAAGATTTTTAAGTTTTTGCTATACACATATAAGGAAAATCAATGACCCCCCCCCCCCCGGGCGGGGCCAGTTTTGACCCCAGGGCTTTAATTTGAACAAACTTGGTAGACACTCACTAGAAGATGTTTCATGCTTAATATCTTAGCTCTAGCTCTTTGGGTTCTTTAAAAGAAGATTTTTTAAGTTTTTACTATATGCATATAGGGAAAATCAATGACCCCCTGGATCGGGGCCAATTTTGACCCCAGGGCTTTTATTTGAACAAACTTGGTAGACATTCACTAGAAGATGTTTCATGTCAAATATCTAAGCTCTAGCTCTTACGGTTCTTTAAAAGAAGATTTTTTAAGTTTTTACTATATGCATATAGGGAAAATCAATGACCCCCAGGGGCGGGGCCAATTTTGACCCCAGGGCTTTTATTTGAACAAACTTGGTAGACATTTACTAGAAGATGTTTCATGCCAAATATCTAAGCTCTAGCTCTTACGGTTCTTTAAAAGAAGATTTTTTAAGTTTTTACTATATGCATATAGGGAAAATCAATGACCCCCCGGGGCGGGGCCAATTTTGACCCCAGGGCTTTAATTTGAACAAACTTGGTAGACACTCACTAGAAGATGTTTCATGCCAAATATCTAAGCTCTAGCTCTTATGGTTTTTTAAAAGAAGATATTTAAAGTTTTTTCTTTTGGTTGCCATGGCAACCAGAGTTCTGCATGGAATTAAATTCTTTGAACAATTTTTAAAGGTGACCACCAAAGGAACATTCCTGTGAAGTTTGGATGAAATTGGCTCAGTGGTTTATGAGGAGATGTCATTTAAAGCAAAAGTTTACGGACGGACGGACGCCGGACGGACGCCGGACGAAAAGCGATCACAAAAGCTCACCCTGTCACTTTGTGACAGGTGAGCTAAAAAGTGTATTGAAAAGGTAAGAACTTGAGCAACATCAAAGATTTTATATACAGGAGTATCTTGAGCTAATTACAAACACTTATATAACTTGCTCTTAGACTTCAATAATTCAATACTCCTTCAAGAATTCATACATGTACCTACAATTCCAGGTAAGTGATCTTAAATTTTACATTATTACCAGTAATTTTATAATTAACTTCGCATGTCCAATGATCAGAATTTACTAGTAACATTCAATTTATAAAAAGAGTGGAACAGCTTTTTTATATATTTTAGGCAGGGTTATCTTTTATCCTAAACATTTTCAAATATCCACTATTGGTAAATCACCATTTTAACAGTTAATCTCTGAAATATACATGGATGGTCAATATATGTTATCAGGAACTCGGGAAATATGGGTTTTTCCAAACTAATCCTCCAGTACAAACAAACTTTTACCTTTATAGTTTTACGGTGCACTACCGATCACAATAGATTAGTCAACCTGTAACTGTTAAAGTTTGTTTTTACCCCAAGATAAGCTTGGAAAAACCCAAAATATTCTTGATTCCGGAGTAATTATATTCAACTCAACTTGACAAGGAAAATATGAGCATAATGTAACTTTAAAAAAGTTATCATAACATTATTCAAGCACTCACCCAACAAGCGAAGCATTCTGGATGCCAGTGTCTGTTGAGGGCAGAGATGTAGTTATCTACAATAGCACGGCCACACCCTCCACACTTAGGGGCAAACATCTCAAAGAAATCAGCTCTATAACAAAATAATACAAAAATAGGTGACTGTAATTCACAAAAGTCCCTATCTTAAATCAGTTAATATACATATACATGATATAGTGAAGTTTCCTAATTATAAAATTTGACCTTGAAGTTGAAGGTTATTAAAGGTCAAGGTCACATGTCAATACATCAAAATAAAGCACTTTTCAAGAAGTATGCTGAACCATTTATTAAGACTTGTTGAATGGCCAAAATTGAAAACTTAGCTTGCAGAAAGGATATAAAAATATGCTTAGCCAAAATATTAAACAGATGCATGGCATTAATTTTTTAAAACTTTTAACAAGGTTATATTTTAATACAAGAAAATGAAGCTCTTTTCCAGAAGTATGATTTGTTAATCATAAATGTACTTTTTTGCAGAATGAACATAATTTTGGCCAGAGTTAAAAAGATTTACTTGCTAAGAGGACAAAAAAACAAACAATCCCAATGTTTTACCGGATGCATGGCAGAAATATTATTTTTTTAACTACCTCAAAAGCATGTTTGCGTGGGATAGTGCAGTGTGGGTCTGTTAAATGTTGCAATAATTATTTGATCATTAACAAACATGCACTATAAAACAAGAATTACCTTTATATTGATGCCAAGTTATGAATGATGAAGGAAGTTATTATGGCGGGCACTTGCTTTAATGATAGATTAGACTACAGCCATAAGTGTTATGGTAAACAAAAACATAGCATTTCTTTGTATTATATTCATATTAAAGCAACATTATACCTGTATGCACTTTAAAGTAATGGTTTTATAATTATAAACATCACTTGAAATCATAATATGTACATATAAATATACATAATTCTTTTTTAAAGGAATTTTGAAAATACATGTACATGACTTGATAAGATTTTTTTGTATAATTTGTGCAATTGATTATAAATCATCATATTTTTGCTTTGTTTGGTTTTATGGCACACAAACGCAATTAAGGTCATATGGTGCTGAAACAGGAAAGATGATTTTTGTTTAACCTTGGGTGATACAAACTTAAAGCAAAACCAGAACTGAAAACCCCCTCACCTGCTGGAGCTAACTGATACAGTAGATTCCAGTATATGTACATGTTTTATATTGACGGTTACATAGTAATATATAAGCATAAGCAGAGTTTTCTCCCATAAATACTTTCCTTAAAGTAAGAATATAATAGTAATAATAAATCATCTGTTTTTTCATCATAAAATATTCTTGTTGTATTTCTGTGATTAATTTCAGCATTTTTTTTGTATAAAATAAAAGCACTGATCACCGCAAGCCTATAAGATTAGTAGTTATCATATGGCTTTAATAAATACAAGAAAACTAACCTGCAGTAAGCTTTACCATCTTTTTCATGAAATCCCTCATCTCCAAATGGCCGGCCACATTGGGCACAGAAGAAATGTTCAGGATGCCACGTATTGTTCAATGCTGTCACACATTTCTGTTAATTGAAATAATCACATACATACATGTAGATTTACACCTTTTATTATCTCCATGAAACAGATCATGTGTATCTAAATTAGGTCATACCATAAGCTTATGTACTTTCCACTCAAACAATAACTTATTTTTACTTTTTGGTAGGGTTTAAGGCGCACCAGATGACTTATCAGTTTTACTGGAGGAGGAATACGTCAGTTACTCACTCCTCTCTACATTATTTCAGGCACAATGACAGCCTGAGTAGAACCACCAATGTTTGTAAGCTATCCAGGTATGTAAGCTAGCTGGACAGCTTACTCACATGAAAGTCAAAAGTCCTTGAAAAGGATTTGAGCCTACAGTGGTGAGGAAAAAGTGGTTTGAATTTAAAGTACCTTATCCACTGGAATACAGACAAACCTCAAGCAACAGCACTTAGCATATTAAGTTGTTCAAAATACAAGAATTAAAAAAAAATTTACATGTCTCAAATTTCAATAAACAAAACAATATATGTAAGAAATACAATGCTGAAATGTAATTGTTTTGCAGGTGCAAGACGAAAATAAGGAGCATTATATCAGGCTTAACAACTTGCTGCCAATTAAATGAATAGCTTCCTCACATTAACGATTACGGTATCTTCAGATTCTAACTTACATTGGTGATGAGCTATTGACTTAATATCATCAAGTTAAACTACATGCACTTAGAAACGCCAAAAAAAAATCATCACTGAATACTTACATCTACAATGGGTCCATTACAGTAAGCACATCGTGGGGCAAACAAAGAATGATAATCCCTCTCACAGTATGCCATACCATCCCTCTCATAGAAATTCTTTGTTCCAAGCGTCTCATGACATTGAGCACAGTTAAAATGCTCAATATGCCAGATTTTACCTAATGCTGTGATCACCTGTTGATACAGAAAATAATTACTTAGCTTCTTATATTTTTCTCACCATGAAATAAAAATAAATGGAAAATCAATGATTTCTGTTAATTTTGAATCCCTCTGTGTAAAATTGATGCTCCATTTAAGAAAAAACTTTTAATATCCCATCCCCAACCCCCATCCCAAATTATGAGACCTAAGTATTCATAAACTTTACTTCTTTTTTTTAAAAGTTTTTTTTGCTCATTTGAACTGATATGTAGGAATTTACAGACAAATAAATCTTGAAACACACTTAATTTACTTCCTTAAAACATTATAGGCATCAATTATAATCCTAATTGAAGTGAACAGCTGAAATAAAATATGTAATTGTCTGGAAAATTTGGCTGAGTTTTCAATTATCACTGAATTATCAAATTTATGAAGCACCCTTAGATGTTAACAATAATTTATGAGTCATTCAATTAAAGTTAAATTGGCGGAATAATTCTAATTCCATTCCATTATTTTCAGGTTGAAGAGAACAAAATATCAAGACAAAATACAATAACAGTACTGGGGTACATCTTTACAATGTTAAAAATATACTATGGCCAAATTTCAGAGATCGAAAATTCCATTTGTACGCTCGTTATTACGAGTAGATTTGAAGAGAATTCCATGCAGGACAAGTAGAAAAATGTTGCCTGCACATTGGATTTAGAAGCTACTCATCCTGCAGGATGAGTGACTCATTAAATAAACATGTTTTCACTTCATACAAAGTAGATATATTATGTTAAAAATTCTACATTATAGGTGGTCACAATATGAATATATAGTGTATCTAAAAAAACTGGCAGTACTTTTTTTTAAGAAAAATCAATTTTAATAGTCCTGTAATATGGAATGTTGCTTCTAATTTATAGTTTATTCATTTGTTTATTCAACAAATTAGACATATTTAGCAAGAATTCTATAGATTTAAATAAATTTCTTTGAGTTCAATATTTAACATAGTATATCTTTATTTCTATATTAGCCAGCTGGTGGCAACAGAATCTACCCATCTAACCAGTGAAGACCACAATCAGTCAACATATCTGTGTCATCTGAACATGGGCTGTACTATTCTCTATTCAGTCACTACATATTTCTAAAATTTCCCCTATATATGATAATGGTTTGTCCAGATTAAGAGATGGACAAGTCTATTATGGTTATTCAGGGGGGAAAGGATTGAACAAGTAAAATGTATGTTTGATATTGAAACATTTAGCTAGGTTATGTCACTTTAAAATCAAACACTAATTTAACACGATGAATGTTTGTAGCAAAACCATATCTCTACTCTTTTTTTTCTTTTCTTTTTTAATGCCATAAAATAGTTTTAAAGGCCCATGATGCCCAAGAAATGTATTGTTTTTTTTCCTTCATTTCTCAAAAACTTTTTATTTTTTGTGTCCTGTTATAGTTTTCAAAAAGTTACCCATTGGCCAAATACCTAAACCATCTTTTGCATCTGTTGCATTTTGGCAATAAGTATAGCATATGAGATAAAATATTAAAGGAAGAAAAAAATTATTCATTTTTCAGGCATAATGAGCCTTTAATTAAGACTTGTGTTTTGTCTTCTATTACATATTGGAATTAAAGGCATCATTCATATTACAATGGAGCTATACCCCAGTCGCCAACCAGACAAAAATAAAAGTATTATTTGTTTGTTTGATTGGGTTTTACTTCGCTCCAACACAGTATAGGTCATATGGCGACGTTCCAGCTTTACTGGTGGAGGAAGACCTCCGGTGACCTTCACTGCATTATTACAGGCACGAACAGGCACGGACGTAAACATTCCGTAAGCTAGCTGGATAGATAAAAGTATTACCTGTCCCACAACTGGCTGGTTACAAGCAGCACACAAGCCCTTAGTTTTAGTATTAACACCTTGTTTATTAAGATCTGACTGAAGATCTCCCAGCATAGACTCTAACTGACCACCTTGTGCTGAACTGCCCGATACATTTCCTGTTATACTGCTACTCTGTAATACAAAAATAATAACTGTTAACATTTAAAGGGACTCAACTCTGGTTTTTTGACATGATGGGACTTGAAATAATTTTTGTGGTTAACGTCCCTTCTGATGTAAGTCTAGACCAATATCTTTTGTGCAAAATTTTAAATCATTCACTCACTCTGTTTTCCCCATTATAATTCTTCTTATTGTGAAAAATGACTCAAAAACTGAAAGCATTGCAATGGTTTTTTTACTGAAATCGGGCTAAAAATAGCACAAAATTACAATTTTCAATTTATTTCTGAGTAAATTTTGTAATTATCTTATAGCATATGTTTCTGTTCTTAGTGCCCCAGTTAAATTCAAAACTCATGTTTTTAGGCTGTTGGAGCTGAGTAGAGTTTCTTTAATTTCTCTCTGTTTAGATACGTGTCCTTCCATACAGGTACATTACTTTTCATTCTGGAACATTCCTTTCCCTACACAGTACTGTGACACAGAAAAATTCCAATACATGTATATGTTCATTTAGTTTTTACACCAATTTTAACACATTTTTGTTTATTTCTTGGCAGTTGGTACTCCCAACCTGCCAACCAATCAAACCCTAGACAACAAATCCAATACTCATACTATTAAGCTAAACAGGCAATTTTTACGTGATAAGATATAAGTGATAAGACTACAAACAAATGCCAGTCTTTCACATGTAATACAAAGCTAAATCTACAATCTTTGAACCAATCGCTCATGCCACAAAAATTTTCAAATTTTAAATTTTCAAGATCTATAAACCTGGAGTACTAGGGTACAACACATCACTCATACATTAATGTTTTAAAATAGTTTAATGATTTACTATATTAATTATCATAAACATTTTATTTTTCTCAGTTAATTGCTGGAAACAAGTGTGTTTTAAACGGTAGTTTTGCTATGATTGGCCAAAGTGGAGTAGTTTTTGTTTATCACAATATTCAGATTACGATTATTCGAACCAATCAATTATTCGAAGTAAATTTTCAGACCTGGGCAATTCAAATAATCGGGTTGGACTGTGAAACAAAGTTAAATTTACTATCTTTAAACCAATCTTTGTGCCACAAAATAAATTTTCAAGATCTACAAACTTAGGTACATCACTAAAACATCACTAAAACATTGTTTACAATAGTGTAATGATTGGCTACATAAATTACCTGTAAACTACTATTAGCACTGCTAGACTGGGAGAGATTACGACTTTTCTGCGGTTTAGCGTACGAAGGTTCGCTACCTGGTGACGGAGACCGTCTCATCGGGTTTACTGTGGCCTGCTGCTGTTGTCCCGGTGCATTGTCCTTCATCTTAAAACAATAATATACATGTAAATCACATTTAGCTTAAAGGCACATTATGCCTAAGAAATTCATAATTTTTTCAATTATTTGGAAAGGTCATACATTTGTTTAATTATGTATAAACAATGAATTTAGAACATAATAAAAGTTTAACAACTAAAGACAGTAGCGCTAAATGTGAAAAAAATTGCCGTAAAGGTAGCAAAATGTAAAATACAGTTGTCTTTTTGCAAAATACTTACTCACTATAATTATACTGATTGCCAAAAGAGCAGAAGTTGCAAAAGAGTCAAAGGCTTTTCAGCGTTGGTTACACGTTACCTTATGATCAACCTTGGATCATTTTTAGCCTCTCTCAAGTCCAAAATTTTCTTGGCGATGAGGGAGACTACCGCTCCCCTTCAAACCCCCCTTTTGGATGAGGGGTTGGGGCAGTGCCGAAAAAGTGCTCACTTCTTTTACCAACATTTCTCACAACATGTGTTTGGAGCCCAAACAGGACATTTTTTCGCAATTTGAGGACTAAAAGGGGGGGGGGTTGAAAGTGCGTTGTTTTGCGTATATATGAGGTAAAGGGTTAAAGAAGGATATAGGTCAATTAGGTAAATTTTTGAAAATATGGGTTAATTTTAGGCTCATCTTAAAATACTTTTATTGCAGAAATTTATTGAAATCTTGTAGATTCTTCCTGAATACGTCTAATTTGAATAAGTGAATGTATAAACTATGTTTGGGAAGCTGCATTTCCTATTACTTGTCAAATCAATTTTGTCTATTCTTATAAAAACTGCCATACTGTGTTTACCTGTATTGTGAAGAGTTTAAAATGTAACATATTTTCTCTGTGTGTATTCAAAAAATGTTTATTTTACATTTAAAAAGACAGTGTATAGTAAATTAGTAATCAATGTTTTTTTTCAAATATCAAATCTGAATATAATATATATCTTTAACATATTTATACATACTTTAAAATCTGAGAGTGTAGACATTAAATCATCTAGTTCTTGTGTGGCAGCACTACTTGTCTGTACAGCTTGTTTAGGTTCAGCGTAATTATACGCCTGTATGTGTTCTTGTTCATGAGCATAGTTATATGTCTGTGGTGGGTTCTGTTCCCTCGTCTCATAGTGGTAATTGTTCACTTCAACCTGCCTGTAACATTGTAAAATGTTTGGTTAAAATTTTTTCCTTTCATATTTTCAGCACCAAATTACTGGGTCAGAAATACTGACACTACTACAGTTAATTATATTTTAGACTTTGAGGGCAAAACAGTTGGGCATGCCCAGTCTTCCTTAGGAGCCTCTATCAAATATACAATGTACATAATACAAGAGGGCCATTATGGCCCTGAAATCCCTCACCTGTACAAAGGCCCCAGGGGCGGTGCCAATTTTAACCCAGGGGCTTTTATTTGTTCAAACTTTCAATAAATATCTAAGCTCTAGCTCTAAGAATTTTTTTAAAGTTTTTACTATAGGGAAAAACAATGACCCCCCCCTCTGGGTGGGGCCAAATTGTCCCCAGGGCTTTTATTTGAACAAACTTGGTAGACACTCACTATAAGATAGTTCATGCTTAATATCTGAACTCTAGCTCTTTGGGTTTTTTAAAAGAAGATTTTTTAAGGTTTTTACTATATAAATATTAGGAAAATCAATGATTTCCATGGCGGGGCCAATTTTAACCCCAGGGCCCTTATTTGAAAACTGGTAGACACCCATTAGAAGATGTTTTATGCTAAATATCTTAGCTCTAGCTCTTACGTTTTTTTAAAGGAAGATTTTTAAAGTTTTTACTATATAAAGGGAAAAACAATGACCCCCTGGGGCAGGGCCAATTTTGACCCCAGGGCTTTAATTTGAAAAAACTTGGTAGACACCCAATAGAAGATATTTCATGCTTAATATTTAAGCTCTAGCTATTTGGGTTTTTTAAGTTTTTACTATATACAAATAAGGAAAATCAATGACCTCCTCGCCCCAGGGCTAAGTCAATTTTAACCCCAGGGCATTTATTTGAACAAACTTGGTAGACACTGACTAGATGATGTTTCATGCCAAATATTTAAGCTCTAGCTCTTTCGGTTTTCTAAAAGAAGATATTTTAAGTTTTTTTCTTCGGTTGCCATGGTTGTCAGAGTTTTGCTTGGAATTAAATTCTTTAAACACTTTTTTAAGTTGACTACGAAAGGAACATTCCTGTGAAGTTTGGATGAAATGGGCTTAGCAGTTTAGGAGGAGATGTCGTTTAAAATAAAAGTTTACGGACGGACGGACGGACGCAGGACGAAATGCGATCACAAAAGCTCACCATGTTACTTTGTAACAGGTGAGCTAATAAACATTTACAAACAAAAAGTTTAACAGTTTAATGGTGACTTTTCTCAGACTCACATGTACTATGTGCAATATTTTAGGCACAAGATCACATATAAGTAGACCTAATGACTATTCTTAAGCTACACCTAACATTAAACTATGTAAATTGGCAGGATTCAAACAAACAAATACAATTGAAAATTGACAAACCAAACGTCAAACAAACACTGTTGTTTTACTTCCTTGCAGGAAAATAAATCAAATAAATCAAAACAGATATACAGTTATTTTAAATATACACTGATCAATTCATAAGAACAGAAGTCAATTTTCCCAACATTTGTCCTTTTTATTCAAGGCTTTTCACTTTGAAAAAATACAACGTCAAAGAGCATTGTTCTATACATTGGATCAAATGCTCTTCTTAAAACTCATTACTTATATATTTGTAAAGCATTGTTTTTATAGTATAAACTACATGTATTGTCATATACATGTATACCAACATACTTTTCAACTGTAGTAAAATATTGAAACAAGAGGGCCATGATGGAAGACACCCATTAGAAGATGTTTCATGATGTTAAGTTTTTACTACACACATATAATGAAAAACAATGACCTCTGCCTCCCCCCCTGGCAGGGCCAATTTTAACCCAAGGGCTTTTATTTGAATAAACTTGGTAGACACCTATAAGAACATGTTTCATGCTAAACATCTAAGCTCTAGCTCATTGGGTTATTCAAAAGAAGATTTTTTCAAGTTTTTACTATACACATATAGTTAAAAACAATGACACCCCTGGGACGGGGCCCATTTTGACCCCAGGGCTTTTATTTGAACAAATTTGTAGACACTCACTAGAAGATGTTTCATGCTTAATATCTAAACTCTAGCTCTTTGGGTTTTTTCAAAGAAGATTTTTTAAGTTTTTGCTATACACATATAAGGAAAATCAATGACCTCCGGGGCAGGGCCAATTTTGACCCCAGGGCTTTTATTTGAACAAACTTGGTAGACACCCATTAGAACATGTTTCATGCTAAATATCTTAGCTCTCGCTCTTTGAGTTCTTTAAAAGAAGATTTTTTAAGTTTTTACTATATGCATATAAGGAAAATCAATGATCCCCTGGGGCGGGGCCAATTTTGACCCCTGGGCTTTTATTTGAACAAACTTGGTAGACACTCACTAGAAGATGTTTCATGCCAAATATCTAAGCTCTAGCTCTTTGGGTTTTTTAAAAGAAGATATTTAAAGTTTTTTCTTTCAGTTGCCATGGCAACCAGAGTTCTGCAAGGAATTAAATTCTTTGAATAATTTTTAAAGGTGACCACCAAAGGAATATTCCTGTGAAGTTTGGATGAAATTGGCTTAGTTGTTTATGAGGAGATGTCATTTAAAGTAAAAGTTTACGGACGATCACAAAAGCTCACCCTGTCACTTTGTGACAGGTGAGCTAAAAACATTTCAAAGAATTATTGTAACAAACTAATGTATGGAATATAATGAAGAAAGTGTTTGTATAAATTAACAAGTTGTATTAACTAACTAGTTTATACCTAGGGTATCCTCCTTGTCTAGTGTTAGGTGTCTGTGGTACAGAGCTTTCTAGTTGATCTAACAGGCTGTCGACAGATGTCCCTCCTCCACCACTCTGACCTCCTCTACCAGGCTTAGGAGCTACTGGAGGAGGCATCTTACCTGTAATATCACACGCATGAAATGATACAATATTCAAAATGAGGGGGCAATTTACCTGTAATATCACTCATGAAATAATGCGAGTTTAAAATTGAGGGGGCAATTTACCTGTAATATCACGCTTGAAATGATGCGAGTTTAAAATTGAGGGGGCAATTTACCTGTAATATCATGCATGAAATAATGCGAGTTTAAAATTGAGGGGGCAATTTACCTGTAATATCACGCTTGAAATGATGCGAGTTTAAAATTGAGGGGGCAATTTACCTGTATATCATGCATGAAATGATGCAAGTTTAAAATTGAGGGGCAATTTACCTGTAATATCATGCATGAAATAATGCAAGTTTAAAATTGAGGGGGCAATTTACCTGTAATATCATGCATGAAATAATGCGAGTTTAAAATTGAGGGGGCAATTTACCTGTAATATCACGCTTGAAATGATGCGAGTTTAAAATTGAGGGGCAATTTACCTGTAATATCACGCATGAAATGATGCAAGTTTAAAATTGAGGGGACAATTTACCTGTAATATCATGCATGAAATGATGCAAGTTTAAAATTGAGGGGTCAATATACATGTAATATCATGCATGAAATGATGCAAGTTTAAAATTGAGGGGACAATTTACCTGTAATATCATGCATGAAATGATGCAAGTTTAAAATTGAGGGGTCAATTTACCTGTAATATTACACATAAAATGATGCAAGTTTAAAATTGAGGGGACAATTTACCTGTAATATCATGCATGAAATGATGCAAGTTTAAAATTGAGGGGTCAATATACCTGTAATATTACACATAAAATGATGCAAGTTTAAAATTGAGGGGACAATTTACCTGTAATATCATAAATGAAATGATGCAAGTTTAAAATTGAGGGGTCAATTTACCTGTAATATTACACATAAAATGATGCAAGTTTAAAATTGAGGGGGCATTTCACCTGAAATAATGCTAGTTTAAAACTGAGGGGGAAATTTACATTTAATATTACACATGAAATGATGCAAGTTTAATTTTACTTCTTACAAAACAAGTTTTAAACTATGTTTTCAATGCAAGATAGTTTGTAAATTTAAACAGCTTTGCTTACTGTCAATTTTTTATTGCCATAGGGCTTAAAATTAACTTCTTATATCATTTGTGGTCTTTAAGATCTATACTGTTTTTGACAAAAGTGTATCGAAAAATGCAAATTTTTATTTTATTTATCTACACTGTGCAGACATTAATAAGTATTTACAAAAAAAAAAAATATCCAAATAAATAGTTTCTGACAACAAACTTCAAGTATTTTCTTCCTTCCTATTTTTTTCATAAATTACAAAGTGATTGTGATGACAATAAAGAAAATGTTTGCTGATATTTACTACAGCTATAACAATGACCACTTGTCAAGACTACTTAAATGAAAAAATTTCTTGCCCTGACCTGACAAGCTTGTCCTGGATAATCATATCTAAATTTTAACACATTTAAAGCAAGGCGGGCAGTATGTCCATACAGTTAAACTGGAAATCAAAGAATATGGGATTTAACTCACTATAGTGTTGGAGCAGTACCTGTTGATGCTTAACAGAAATCATAAAAAATATCGCTTTTTTCAGTGATTCTTAAAAATTTATTATTCATAATCTTATATAAATCTGTGTGAGGAGATAAATTTGCTGCCTTAAAAATCATTTGGCGAGATTTAAGCATTTAATCATTTTAGCGCCTTGTCCAGTATAATTCCCGGATTTTAGTGTGGTGTCTAACAAAACTTTTTTCAGTCTCACTCATAGAATAGTTGTCTGCTTGATATTAGATTTCAAATTTAAGTTGAATATAGACATAGACACATTTTCAAGCCAGTGCATCACACAAATATAGCAGTGTAGGGTGTATAACTAGCCTCATAAGTAACGAGTTGTTGAGGCAAGTAATGAGTTGTTGAGGCAAGTAATGAGTTGTTGATGTAAGTAATGAGTTATTGAGGCAAGTAATGAGTTGTTGAGACAAGTAATGAGTTATTGAGGCAAGTAATGAGTTGTTGATGCAAGTAATGAGTTGTTGATGCAAGTAAAGATGTTATTGAGGCAAGTAATGAGTTGTTGATGCAAGTAATGAGTTGTTGAGGCAAGTAATGAGTAGTTGAGGCAAGTAATGAGTTGTTGAGATAAGTAATGAGTTATTGAGGCAAGTAATGAGTTGTTGATGCAAGTAATGAGTTGTTGAGGCAAGTAATGAGTTGTTGAGGCAAGTAATGAGTTGTTGAGGCAAGTAATGAGTTGTTGAGGCAAGTAATGAGTTGTTGAGGCAAGTAATGAGTTGTTGAGGCAAGTAATGAGTTGTTGATGCAAGTAATGAGTTGTTGAGGCAAGTAATGAGTTGTTGATGCAAGTAATGAGTTGTTGATGCAAGTAATGAGTTGTTGATGCAAGTATTACCTGAGCTTGGTGGGTTTTTCTTGTCCACCTCCGCCATAAACTGAGCCGAGTTGAGATCTGACAGGAGCTGATCTAGCTCTGACAGATTGTTGCTGATGGCAGACATCCCTTGTCCTGGCTGATTTTGTTGGTACAACTGCCCTGGAGGTGGTGGGTATGAACCTGGTTGATTTTGTTGGTACGACTGCCCTGGAGGTGGTGGGTATGAATGACCGGGTGGTTGATGATGCTGGCTTGGAGAGGGTGGTTGGTAATGAGGGCTTGCAGGTTGTTGATGGTATGTATTGGGCTGTGCTTGCTGGTACGTATTGGACTGTGCCTGTTGGTAGGTATTAGGCTGTGCTTGTTGGTACAGGTTAACCGAGGGATCTGTGGAACCCTGGGAGGACTGGGACGAGCTGGAAATACGCTTCTGATTATAGTCTCGTGTCCGAATGTTTTGTGTCTCATACAACGGCTGAAAATATAACAATACAATATCATTGATACTTTGTTACAAAAGCTTAATCAATTTTACAACCAAAGAGGCAAATAAATTAATATCAAACCTCTTGAAAAACGACCATCCTAGCACACTTCTGAGTACAGACAAAGATTGCAAAAGATACATCCATAATTGTACATAATATTTATTTGTTCAAAATGTTATTTTAGCCTTTGTGGGGCCAGGGCTCCACTAATATGATATACATTGTATTAAAAAACTACATGTATGTCATAATGTTAAACATCATATTAGAGCCTGTGGTAATGTATAGTTATAAATCTTCAAATTCACTTTAAATGAATGAATGATCTGAAATTTTGCACACAGAACTTCATCAAATGGAACATTAATCTCGAAAAATTATTTCCAGTCTGTCATATAACCTAAGTGGAGTTCCTTTAACAACAGGATAGCTTCAAATTACACAGATACAGCTGCATTAAGTTAAAATCATATTTTAAAATCTGACAATATTGAATAAAATACAGAAATCATTCTGATGACTGATGTAGGAACACAATCTCAGTGTAAACCTAATGACTATCAAATATACTGAAATATTTACTAAAATTAATAATTTTTCAAAATCATCATCAAATACTGTACTAATGACCGATGAGGTAAATAAATATATTGTAATTATTAACACACACACACACACACACACACATATAATCACTCATACATTCCTACATGTTACTCTTATAAATAACTTACCCATCAATTCTACCTTAAGGCTTTATATATAAATACATTATACTAGTATATAAACTCCATTAAAACTTTCTCTTCACTCTACATATAATCAAGTTTCACATGAAAGTGCTCCTTAAAACTTTGCACTGTCTTTGCAATTACATAAACTGCAGTAATATGAAAACCCTTTTTCATAAATTATATTGTTAAATATAAAGACTATGACGGACAAGTAGATATATCCTGATTCATACTTTCATTTCCTACTTCCATTATCTATCTATCTTAACAACACATCCATACATAACCTCAAATATTTGCCTACCAACCATATGCTGGGGTGTATACAGAGCTAGTAGAAAGAATGGGTCATACATAACATGATGTCATGTTAAATGTGTACAAGGGCCCATCCCCTACATTAGACAGGAAGTTTAGAAATTTATATATAGTTTTTAGAATTTTTACCCTGCCTTATTTTTGTGATGAAAATGTAATTTTGGAATTACTGCTCCTTTAATGGAGGTAGGGAGGAAACTACCCTCCTTCCCCCCACTCCAATCTATGCATGATATGTTAAAAGCATGCCCTATTGTAGTAACCAATAACACACCTGAGTTCTTTGTAACCCCAGCCCTCTTCCTCATGGAAAAGGGGAATTTTAAGCGAAAAAATTTCCAACCCAAGGGACAATCAGGTGGTGAAATACCTTTCCAGATGCCTCTTCAAAATGTCAGCTAGCTAAAAGCATGCATAGCAGTGGGGACTTCAAAATTGTAGTGTGACCTTGACCTTTGAGGTAGGGACTTTATTCTTGAACGCGACACATCGTCATGATGTGGTAGACATTTATGCCAAGTTATTCTAAAATCCTTTGATACATGATAAAGTTACAGTCCAGACACAAATCTGTGTACCTATAAACTATAATTATGATAATGTGAAACTTCAAAATGTCAGTGTGCCCTTGACCTTTCAGGGACGTGGTTCTTGGACTCGTAACATCGTCTTGATGTGGTGGACATTTGTGCCAAGCTATTTCAAAATCCCTCAATGTACGACAAAGTTACAGTCTGGACACGAATGAAGTGTGGACAGACAGACAGATGAACAGACAGTTGTTGCGATTTTAATATGCCACCCTATAGCATTATTTATTTGTTTGATTGGGTTTTAGGTCTCATCAACACATAATAGGTCATATGGTGATGTTCCAGCTTTATAAGGAGGAAGATCTCAGGTGCCCTTCAATGCATTATGGGCACTGAGTGGAACCATCAATGTTCCTTAAGCTAGCTTGATCATAGCTTCCTCAAATGAAAAAAGTCCCTGTCGCGATTCGAACCAACAGCAGTCAGAGGACAAGTGGTTTGAAGTCAACGATCTTAACCATTCAGTCATGGACGCCCCAAAATAGCATTATCCAATCATGATAACAAAATAATATCAAATAATCACAAAATACCTATACATATTATTAAAATTTTGATCTCAAACTATAATGATACACTCATTCAATAGGTATAATAAATCTACATGGTTATGATACAGTCACTGTTAGTCATGATTGTATTGATCTACATGTAATATTGATTATGATACATTTCCTTATCATGAAATACTAGAAAACAAATATTGTCTGACATGCTTAACCATCATATAAATGTATCATGTTTATCTATTATCTCTTATTGTAAAATTCTTCCTTACTTTTTCATCAGATTGTCTGCCAAAAATCAGAAATTCAATTTTCTTTTAATGTTAAAAGCAACACATTATAAGACTGTTTTGTGCTTGCGCCATATTTTTTTAAAAAGCCAAAAACATGGCAGATAAATGGTGATCAAAATGATCAACAAATTGTAACAAATTCTGTCAAAATAAATTCTGTCCTGAAATTTAATTTTTTTTTTTCATTTAATGCTTCTGTTTTGAAGGCTGGCCTTGCATAGAAAGTAGAGATTTAAGACAAAAACATAGGGTATCTTTTAATAGAAAGTAACAAGATTTAAGATAAAATTATGGTATCTTTAACATGAGGAGAATCTTACTTTAAAATGTGTATATCCAGCTATCTATAAACTCCATTTAACATTTAAGGTCCATCAAGGCAGATATCTGACTGTCACTGGTTTATAAGGGACTTTCGTTACTTAATCTTACATGTATTGAAAAGTACTCCAGGGATAAAGAATCTGAGGAATGTGGCGTACTGATAAACAGCATTATAATTACGCTACCATAACATCACCGTGGATTTACAATACTTTTATAATCATATCGTAAATAGATTTTGCAACTACATGCTGTTGCATTTAATAAACCGAGTAAGAAACGTACATAAATAACCCATATACAAACCACATTATACCCATTAAATCGTTTTAAACTGATACTTTTACAAACGTTTTCGAATGTGACTCACCTCAAGAAACATTGTTGAAAAATTTCAGAGCATGTATACATATCAAATTTAATGTAACACAAAATTAAAAAAAACAAAACTTTTTTTTCTAAACTGTACAGAAAAACTTAAAATGAAAAATATTCAAATGAGCAACACTTTAATAATCATCATTGTTGAAGAAAAAAAAACAACCTTCAGCATATGAATCTACAGAAATTGATTTGTAAAGACTTAATGCAAATTGTTAAGCTTTATCATCAAATCTTTGCCAAAACTGGTATTGTTATTATAGTGGTACTTATTGATCTGGAATTATAGGAACTTTTTATAATATTTACATGTTTGTGAAAATAACTCTTATCTTAATGCATGTGACAATATCTGTATCTTAATGTATGTGACAATAACTGTATTTTAATGAATGTGACAATATCAGTATCTTAATGTCTGTGACAATATCAGTATCTTAATGTATGTGACATTAATCAGTATCTTAATGAATGTGACAATATCAGTATCTTAATGTATGTGACAATATCAGTATCTTAATGTATGTGACAATATCAGTATCTTAATGTATGTGACAATATCAATATCTTAATGAATTTGACAATATCAGTATCTTAATGTATGTGACAATATCAGTATCTTAATGTATGTGACAATATCAGTATCTTAATGTATGTGACAATATCAGTATCTTAATGTATGTGACAATATCAGTATCTTAATGTATGTGACAATATCAGTATCTTAATGTATGTGACAATATCAGTATCTTAATGTATGTGACAATATCAGTATCTTAATGTATGTGACAATATCAGTATCTTAGTAATGAATGTGACAATATCAGAATCTTAATGTATGTGACAATATCAGAATCTTAATGTATGTGACAATATCAGTATCTTAGTAATGAATGTGACAATATCAGTATCTTAATGTATGTGACAATATCAGTATCTTAATGAATGTGACAATATCAGTATCTTAATGTATGTGACAATATCAGTATCTTAATGTATGTGACAATATCAGTATCTTAATGTATGTGACAATATCAGTATCTTAATGTATGTGACAATATCAGTATCTTAATGTATGTGACAATATCAGTATCTTAATGTATGTGACAATATCAGTATCTTAATGTATGTGACAATATCAGTATCTTAATATATGTGACAATATCAGTATTTTAATGTTTGTGACAATATTAGTATCTTAATGTACGTGACAGTATCAGTACCTTAATGTTTGTGACAATATCAGTATCTTAATGTATGTGACAATATCTTAATGTATGTGACAATATCTTAATGTATGTGACAATATCAGTATCTTAATGTATGTGACAATATCAGTATCTTAATGTATGTGACAATATCAGTATCTTAATGTATGTGACAATATCAGTATCTTAATGTATGTGACAATATCAGTATCTTAATGTATGTGACAATATCAGTATCTTAATGTATGTGACAATATCAGTATCTTAATGTATGTGACAATATCAGTACCTTAATGTATGTGATATTATCAGTATCTTAATGTATGTGACAATATCAGTATCTTAATGTATGTGACAATATGGGTTTCTTAATGTCTGTGACAATATCAGTATTTTAATGAATGTGACAATAATGTAACCTTTTTATTTTTAT